CCCCAACACCCCAACACCCTCCTCCCCCCTCTCCCCCAACACCCCAACACCCCTCCTCCCCAACCACCCCAACCCTCTCCCCAACCCCTCCCCCAACCCCCTCCCCCTACACCCCAACCCCCTCCCCCAACCCCTCCCCCTACACCCCCCAACCCCCCCCCCAACCCCCAACCCCTACACCCCAACACCCCAACCCCCTCCCCACAACCCCAACCCCCCCCCACAACACCCCCACCCCCCCCCCCCCCCCCCTCCCCCCCCCCCCCCCCCCCCCTGGCTGATGCTCACAGTACGTGGAGGTGCTGCAGGCCGGCGAGGTCTGTCCTGCTGATCCTCGTGATGTTGTTCCCGTTCAGGTCGCTGCGGAGAGACAGAGAGTCAATGCCCCCGTCCCACCCCGAGAGTAACGCTCACCCTGAGCTCAGGGGTCAGAGCCCTCGCAAGAGAGAGACTGGGTTTGGTTCTTGGGCGGAACAAAATGTTGGGCAAGTTTCCTTACTCCACACCCTCTATTTACCAGCAATAAGGAGGAACCCGATTGTTAGTCAATTGATGGATCACTTTCTGGGGGTAACAATCACCTCCGAAAATATAAAAAATAATAAATTGGTCACTCAATCCACGACTGTCTGTGGGACACCGCTGTGTGCAATTCGCTGCCGGGTTTCGCTCAGAAGACATACAGACAATTCACTTTACAGTGTATCCTGTGAAGCGCTTTGAGACGACTCGAAGACGTGATAAGGTTCAGTATCAAATGCCGGGATTGTATTATTATTATTATTATTATTATTATTATTATTATCATCACTCTGTGCTGCACACACACAATTCAAAGTTCACAATTTACACAACATCACTGACATCAACTCTCTCTCTCTGTGTGTCTCACTCTCTCTATATATCTCTCCCTCTGTGTCACACTCTTTCTCCCTCTCTCCCTCTCTCTCTCTCACACACTGTCTGTCTCATCGCTCTCACATTCTGTCTCTCATACTCACACTCTCCATATATCTCTCTCTCCCTCTGTGTCTGTCTCACACTCTCTCCCTCTCCCATACACACTCGATCTTATACCTCTCCCTCTCTCTCTGAGTCCGTCTCATCTCTCTCTCATTTTCACTCTCACATTCTCTGTCTATCATTCTTTCCTTATCTTTAACTCTCTCTCTCCCTCAGGTGTGTGTGCGAGTGTGAGTATGTATATGTGTGAGTATGTATGGGCGAGTGTGTTTTTTTGTGTGTGAGTGTGTGATTGTGTGGGTGAGTGTGTGAGTGAGTGTGTGAGAGTATGTGAGTGTGTGATTGTGTGTGTGTGAGTGTGTGAGTGAGTGTGTGTGTGTGATTGTGTGAGTGAGTGTGTGTGTGTGTGTGTGAGTGTATGAGTGAGTGTGTGAGTGTGTGAGTATGAGTGTGAGTGTGAGTGTGAGTGAGTGTGAGTGAGTGAGTGAGTGAGTGTGAGTGAGTGTGAGTGTGTGTGTGTGTGAGAGTGTGTGTGTGTGTGAGTGTGTGAGAGTGTGAGTGAGTGAGTGTGAGTGAGTGTGAGTGAGTGTGTGAGTGTGTGAGAGTGTGAGTGAGTGTGAGTGTGAGTGAGTGTATGAGTGAGTGTGAGTGAGTGTGAGAGTGTGAGTGAGTGAGTGAGTGTGAGTGTGAGTGAGTGTGAGTGTGAGTGAGTGAGTGAGAGTGTGAGTGAGTGTGAGTGAGTGTGAGTGAGTGTGTGAGAGTGTGAGTGAGTGAGTGTGTGAGTG